TCAACCCAACTCAAACAATCAACTTCGCTTTTCGTCCCTTCCATTGAATTTGATTCATCAGACCGCGAGGGGTTTTTTTTGTGTATCACTTACTCCATAGCTAGCCAATAAACCGATTTGATTTCTCCTTACTCTGGCACTTTCATATTCAGCTTGATGACAATTCATTTCCTAACTTGATTAGTTGAATTTATTAAATCCTTCTTTACTTCTATGTTGCTTCTTTACATATTGTTCAGTAGGTGTGTGATCAATTCCAACACGAAAGCTTGTATCACATAAATAATCTTCAGCGAAGTTTTTACACCTATGAAAATGATACGGATCAAAAATACAAATATGCAAATCATTGGAATGATTTGTGTAGTCAATTGTTTTTAATCCACTGAAAGCCCTTTCGGCCACAAGTAGTTGTTATGCACAAGTCCTGTCCATTGGTTTGGGGGGGAGGGCGGTATTCCGCGGCTGGCAAGAAGTCCTATCACAGCAGGGTTGTGCTAAATTTCAGCATAGTGCAACAAAATTCTGCTAGCTGTGCACTAACTTGATGCAATCAGGCCACAAGAATGCACCCGCCATGTCACATTTCAGCACTTTAGAGCAACCTTTTGCCTTTTTTAAAGCTAAAAAAAGCTTTAGTGTGGTGTAGCACTAGCAGTGCTGTGTTAGAAACTTTTTGCCCTTTTTTACCACTAAAAGAGCTTTAAAAGTGTGGAGTTGCAGTGCTGCCAGCGCACTCAAATCAAATTACTTCTAGTAGTAAGGGGCTGTGGCAAGGTTTGTTACACCAACACTAGTTTGCCATGTAGTGTAATAATCACTAGAATCCAATGAGGAAAAATACCTAAAGTTTGTTTTAGATTTGTCTTAGCTGTTGACACACAACAAGACAACTGTTACCACTGCAGTAATGAGACACACCTGAAAGATAGGCAAGGAAAAATAAATGAAAGAATAATTAGATGTGAAGAAAACTGCTCCATGGGGGCAAGTTCTGTAGAGGATGTGGAAGTGTAAGAGACAGTTTCATCTACTTAAGGATTTTATTGTTGGGGGACAGATTGGTTACAACCATGTTTGAGGCTGATTCAAATTGGGTAACCGGTGTTGAAAGTGAAAGTGGGGGTTTTTATGAAGGGGAAAACTAATAAAGGGTTTGAAAGTGAAAATGGGGTATTGTGTAGTTGTCCAAGATTGGAAGTGGTAGCGGCCAGGGGTTGGGTCTGCCGGTATTTGAACACCTGACTTGTCACTCTCTTTGAAGTGATTATACTATGTTGTTGCAGGGAAGACACCAAGCTTCTGTGGGTGATGGTGACCGCTAGGCCATCCAGGCCCTTCATTTCTCTTAAGCTTTCACCTCAGCATCACTTGGTCTGATCTAAATCATTTCAGAAATTTACTGAATTGCATAGACCACTTCAATGCTCATAGTTAAAATTTTACCTGCCCTCATGAGACACAACCCAATTTCTTCATTTCAATTTTTTTGATCTTACATGTAGCTACAGACTAAGTTTGAAACTTTGAAGATGTCCATAATATCAATTTTTTTGACTCTCACAGCAAAACACTTGTCGAATTTCATTCTCTTTCCAAATCAAAGCACAAATCAAATTTCATCACAGTTCTGATTCCAATTTGGTGAGAATCAACAACAACCATTATCCTCTTCATTATGCACTTCTCATTTGGCTATTCCTTGTTTCATTCCTTTTAGTCCTGTGTCCTCTTTCTTTATTATATACTATTATTTTTATGTGGTTCTTGAAGATCTTATCTTCTGTTGGGGCAGCAGTGGGCCGCTACAGGCCCATGTTGCGGTGCAAACAGCTGCGGTTTTTGTTGTAGTGCTAGCGCACCGCTACTGCCGCTGTGCTACTCTAATTTGTAGTGGTGCTAACACTAGCCATTTTTTGGTGTAGTGTTAGCGCGCCTCTGGTGCTGCTACGCTACAGCGTTTTAGTGGTAAAAAACACCTAAAAACCACTAAAAACTTCTGTAACACAGCGTAGCGGGCACTTCTTTGCACCCTGTGCGCGTAGCGTTAGCGCAGGTGGGGGAATTGCGCTAACGCTACGCTAAACAATAGCACATTTTTGCGCCCCATGTGCATAGCGTTAGCACAGAAAAGGAGAAAAGCACTAACGCTACACTCAATTGTAGCATTTTTTTGCTACGCTATGGTTAGTGTAGCTGACCCACTGTTGGTTGGGGCAAACATTTGTTCACTGTTCTCTCATTTGTTTATCTCTGCTTTCTTCCATTACATTGCTTTTCTTATTTGTTTACTTTCTTTTTGAGATTGGTTCTGGTGTATAGCAATTCAGTCTCAAGTTTTCTCAATAAGCAGTTGAATAGTGGTTCAGGAGAAAATGAATATGTAAATTGAATAGGATGTATTGAGAATACCATCAGCTGGACTAATTATTTTCAATAATAGAATGACTCATTTTGAAATCTACTACACAAGGATCTATGACTATAGGATGTGATAAAACTTGTACCATCTTGCTATTCAAGAGATGCCACTAGTATGATCCATTATGGGGTTTAATGATTTGAATTTGTGGAATTCTAAAGCTAATTTCAAGGTCTTCCTCAATAAGATTCTAGAATTTCGAAGATATGAACACAACTTGGGGATTCCAGATTAGTCCAACTTCTTCATTTTTGAAAACGTTGTTCATAAACACCTTAAAATGAGCTTGAAAATGAAAAAAAAAAAAATCAATTGTGAACCCTCCTCTTGACAGATATAAAATAATAACAACTAGCTTTGAGCAATTAGTTAATTAGAATGAGAGAATTTCAAGTTGAACACAAGCTTTTTCAAAGCCACTGGACAACTTCCCATCAATTTCTGTGGGTCTCCCAGAGTTGATCTAGAGCCTCAAAAATCAAATTTCTCTGCAAAAATCAAGATTTTTTGGGTCTAGATCGACTCCTGTGAGGGTCCCAGATCCGACGGGAAGTCCTCCACTCTATGTTACAGTTTACTTTACATAGCCAAATACCTATGAACAACATAGTCTGGCATGCCCACAGAAGGAGACTGGAACTTTTAGTGAAAACCGCTGGCACTGATTATGATTGAAGTCCTACTGTAGCCAAAGGCCTGGTTACGAAATGTGGGCACAGAGTTGGGGCATGAAAGACACCAAAGTACAAGCATGAAGCGGAAGAAACTCATACATTAAAAACCAACAATTGGTATTGGGAAGCAAGATCATAGAAGATTGTAGATGAAGCAACAAGCAATCAAGGACAGAATCAAATTCAAAAAGGCCGAGACCGAGGACGGAAAGTGATAGTTTTTGTCTATGCCTCCACTTTCGGTAGTTTCCCCTGCTCTTTGGTGAGCTCAGGCTTTGTCATTCTTTGGCATTTCCAAATACCATATGAGCAATATGTAAATAGGATCGAGACACGTTTGACAAAGCCCATGAATAACATGAATTTACAAAGTAACTTCTCAGAGTCTGACGAGAGCTGATGAGCTTATAGGGAACGGACTAACGAAACATATCCGCCATTGACTATCATATGTATGCACCAGGGCAGGCAAGCAAACATACTAACCTCACATATTTAGCAACACAATTTGGACGCAAATCGCCAAAATCAGTGTGCATGGATGTTCGTAAATCCGTGAAGAGCTCCGCCTCACGTCTCGGCGGGCCTATAATCCGACACTTCGCGCCGCGTAGATTTATATCTTGTTTGA